ATATATATATATATTTCATTTATACAAATTATGATATTTATACAGCTATAATTATAATTATATCATATAAATTCAAAACTGCAAATATAATTTTTTATAAATACGAAGAATTTTTGTTATAAATAGGAAGAATATGTTGTATTTTGTTATAAATAGGAAATATATTGAAAAAATTAGAAAGTGAAAAAAATTTAATCGACAAAGACAATAAATAATCTTCAGCGATTCGTCTCTTAATAACTCATCGGTGCGAAACGAGCAGGTGTGGTAAAGCCAAAAAATGCTTCCAGTCGACTCGTACGAGCGCAACGGGGAAACTCTATGCCTTCATTGTTTCAGTCTTCCGGCATTACAAAAGAACCGTCGTGGATGGAGGCGGTTGGAGGCTTGAAACCGACTCAATTACAGTCGCTGAGCGACGCGATAATTGGGATCAAGATTGATTGTCTTCCTTCCTTTTGCGCTGACCTCCCACAAATACAAGCTACTACTAGAGACGTATATTTTCTTTTCTCTCGTCTCACATAAATAAACCAGCGCAGAAAACAAAACGTTTCAAAACGTCCAGACAGAATACGGCTCTAATCAAAATTTTTTTGTTATTTTGCGATCAATTTTAGCATAAAATGAACCTATATATTTTAAGAATTAAGTACTCTGCAACAAAATTAGAATTAAATCAATATAGATATATGTTATAATAATGAATATCGAAAAGAGATTTTATTTTGGCCTAAATAAATTAAACTATAATCATCAAATTCATTAATTGATCTGTTCCACAATTATGAATACACATTATTCAATGTCGATTAAAATTTTAAAAAATATAGCTTAAAAATGAATTAAAATTTTATCAATAAGATGGATCCATCGATATTATATCATAGTTATATCGAAAATAGTACAAAACATACAAGACATATTTGTTTGATGTTAGTTATCCATTGAAACCGAACGATATAAAAAATTTTATTGGCATCAATATCCAGCTCAAAATTACGAGGATCACATATAAAAAGTACGATAGTAAACCACGCGATAATAATTCGTCGTCGCGTGAGAGCACTTGGATCATTTTCCCCATCTAGCTGCGCGGAAAAAAACGCGAAGACATCCGCGAAAACGACTCAACGACGGGGCACAAGAGGGAAAAAGCAAAAGGGTGGTGCAGGCTATAGGCAGGCTTGCGGGATGGTTGCTCACTTCATGGCGGCGGGAGGTCGATGTCGAGCAACCTTTTTCACCTCGATAAAGCCCTGTCGTCGAAGGTGGCCGACGAACACGATCCTTCAGACCCGGGATAACCCCGTTTTATAACCTCTCACCCGTCTACCCCCATCAGCCCCCTCTGTCGTAGTCCTGCTGTGCAACGAGCAACGAGAGCACGCCGAGAGGGAAAGAACGTGTTCTCGCTGCTGAAATGAGCATCGCAGACAGAATGATAGAGAGAAACTATGCAGACGGAGAGGGAGAAAAAGAAAGAAAGCGAAGAGAAAGAAATTGGGTGGATAAGAGGTGCGAAAGGGGCGACGGTGTCAACGGGTGTATGCCATCCGCCCGTTGAGCCGTTGCAAGGGCTGCAGGACGGGTGAGCAAGATTACTAGGATTTGCGCGTAGATTTGCATATCGATTTTCCCGGTGGAACAGTGTTGTACGGCCGTGAGGGCCCGCACACGATTTGCCTTAATTTCGCTATGGGAGATATCTGCCACATTAGCCCGATGGTTGCAGCTTAAGCGCGGCTGTTCGCGACACGGTAATATCGTTTCGGATCGCACAGCTCGAAATTACCAGTGGTAACTTTCAAAGAA